TACACACATTTAGTTAGTTTATAAGGCTAAGTACAGACAGTCAAAAAGGCCAAGGCTGAATCAATTCAGTCTCTGCAGGTTAGTTTAAGTTGCAGAGCTTTAACTAAAAAACAACTGGAAAGACATTTACCTTTAATTCAGGAAATGCAGTGGCTCAGACCAGAAGCTACGGTGGGGTAGAGCACAGCTTTCTGGCATATAGCCAGCATGTTCTGTGTATTCACTTCATCTTCCTGCTGCCCCCAAGGTCTGTGGGATTTGCAGTCTAGAATCACAGTAGCAGGACTCTGCAAGGTTGCTCATCACTTCCTCTTCCTGCTTCCAGGTGACTCTGGGATTTGTAGTCCACAGTTGCAGCCTGCAGTAAGTTTGAATGGGGGAAGGGCTGTCTAACCCTCCTCCTTGGCCCCAGACCCCAATTTGTGTTTGCCTGGGCGGGGGGCAATATGCTAGCCATTGAGGCCAGTGAGCGAGCTAAGGAGCAGAGGGGTGGAGCAGCCCTGCTCTCTGGAGCAGACAGTACATCCCAGCCCAGGGCTGCAAAGCATGGTGGGATGCTGTGCAACTCTGATTTAACTTGAACCAGGAAGGGGTCTTGGACAGAACGTTCATAAACCAGTTTGACGTAAGTCAGTTAAGTCTGATACTACATTCAACCAGGTTTATCTTAAACCAGTTTCAGCCATTTTGAAACTGGTTTTTGTGCACTGAGCTTCTGTTCTGTTACAGGCTTAGACCAGTTTCTGATCACTTAAACCAGCTTACGTGTAGCTTCTGTCCTTAGCCTAAAGGTGCATATCTATCTTGCCTTCTGACTGACTTCAGATTAACATGGCTAACTAACTGTCTTTATTCATGCCCTAAGCTACATCTGAGGCCTTGTGAAGAATCCAGATTCAGTGCTCCTTTGAGTCAAGCCACTGTCGGTGATACATGTACATCTATTGTAAATTCCAAACAATTACACAAACATGCAATAAAAGGGGTATGTGGTGGTAAGCAAACCTCGTGGTAGCACACATGGAGGCCACAAATCCTACTCCCCTCAAAGTCCTTATTGAGCTTTGGAACAGACCCAATTTTTAAATAAAATATGTTGTACAACACCACAACTGAAATAGGAAGTCCCCCAGATTTATATGGGTATGCCTATAAAGAAATCCTCCATCTTCCTATAAAGACAAGGCAAATGTTTCCTTGTAGCCCCACACTATTTCCCTGTCTGTGCCAGAGCAGAGAACTCACCCCAGATCTCCCAAGGCCCAGGATAGTGTGCCCTATACAAAGGACTGACTGCCCTTCCTCCCTTTTAGCAAGGCTCCACTCCTTGGAGTATTCACCAATACAGTATGAAAAAGGTTTATCAGGGCTTATTCTAAAAAGGATATAAATGGGAAAGGAACATAGGAAGAGGAAACTAAATTTTGCTCTTATCACAAGGCATGATTATGAAAGAGGAGAAAAGAAATACAAAGTCAAGATGCCTCTTGCTTAAGGCACAGAACAGACTCACTTTTTTGTGTTGTAGGTCATTTTACCAGAAGTCATTGAAAGTCCGGAGTCATAATTTTGATGGCAGTAAATTTCCCAAATCCAGATGTGCCAGGATGGTGTTGTTTCCTTGAGTGATTTGATTGTGCCCATAAGAAAAATTCAGAGTAACCTTGGATGGCTGAGTTAAAGCAAGCCATTGGCATAATGTGGTCAACATATCTCTGCTACGGAAATCAGTGTCATCACCAGTGACAGTCACTGCAGACCCAGGAGGAAAGGCTATGTGAGGAATAAAGACAGAGAGAAACTAAATATAAAAATAAGCTGCAAAAAGTGAATAGCAATGGGTCCCATCATGAGGATTAAAATTAATAGATCCCTCTCTTTAGAATAGGAGAATAATAAAATATGAAAATGAGTACCCAGAAACAAGTGGAAACAACAACGGTCTAAAAGCTGAAAGTCTCTTTAAGGTCAGCTTATATGGAACTAGGGAGATAGCCCTATAGTCTCTCCAGACATAAATACACCCAGATCATGAACTCTGTCATTGTTGTACTGGAAGATATTTAAATACATGTGATGAAGAGCAACTTTTTCTTCTCCCAAGCATGAATACAGCACTGTCTTAAGCAACAAGCCATCTGACCCAAACCTCACACATTCCAAGACCTGCGTAGTAGCAAGACCTGGACTGTTGTCATCTATTCTGCAGCGAATGATTAGAACAGTGGTTCTCAACCTTTTTAGAGTCAAGATACCCCTCCATAATTTTTGTGAACCGAGAGGCATCCTGCTTCAAAAACAAATTCATTTATTATAGTGCTTACCTGCTTGAAGCAGGGCTGGGAAGGAAGAGGAGCAGTTGGCAGAGAGGAGTTTGTGGCAGCAAGTAGTGAGAGGAAGAAAAGCTGTAAGCAAAGAGCAGGCATTTATCTCACTTATCTCCTCTCTTGCAGTGGCACCCTTCAAAGGCTGTGATGACACTCTGGGGTGCTGCATCACCCTCGTTGAGAATCACTGGGGTAGAGGCTACTGCAACTACATTAGTGATGTTATCGAGATTACCTTAGATAATTATTTGTCTGAATCTGTGGACTACTGCTGGTTTCAGAGCTTTTAAAGCTCATCTGTATAATGAAGTTCTTTGTCAACCAAGCACTATTTAAAGTAAAATAATAAATTACTATTAAATATTAAGATATGACTTATCGGATGCACCGTGTTCATCAGACAGCACTTAAAACCAAAATGAGAATAGCAAAGCAGTTTGTTGGGACATTTGCTAAATCTTAATTGTGCTTCACTTGCATATTTCCTGAAATATTGTAAGCTTACATGTGAGTGGGGGGCTTTTAACATTTACATTTCCTTATTTTAATCTCTCTCACACACACAGATAGATATAAGAATACAGAAATATAATGGACAATAAGTCTGTTATTGCTTCAGCCAATTATTTAAGTTTTAACTAGGGGTACACTGAGAGATTTTGGGGGCCGATACCGACAGCCGATATTTAAGGAGGCATAATCG